TAACCTATATCCTAGAAAGATTTTGTCATAGTTTGTATTTGAGTCTTCGCGTATTGTTTGCATGACTCTTTCCTGAGTTTCCGGTTCAAGCTCTTCAAACAGAGCTTGTCCATATGGAATAAGCTCGTTTCCAAATATATGTTTTTGTAGCCATTCTGGTTTTCTTTCCATGTTACCAATTATATCTTTTGTGAATGGGAAAGCTTTTACCCAACGTTTCAGGCTTGGGTCATTTATTTCTGTAGTTGGTTTTATTTTGTCAAGGAACATGTTTTTCAATACTAACATTTCATTTGGTACTGTCCATTTGAGTTTTCTTAAATATTCATCCCTTCTCGGTTCATTGTCTGCAAAGTAAGTTTTTATGACATTTTGTAAACTTTCGTTTGCAAGGTCATGTACAATAGGTTCTCTTCCTTCTCTATCCCTAACTTTCTTTCTAAACTCTTCACCAAATATACCATCTTTATGGTTCTGTGTAGTTCTTTGAGATAAATGTTCTAGAACGTCAGGTGTTATATTTCCATCAGCCATGTTCATTTCATACTGGTCCAAAATATCTGCATCTTTCATATCTTTCAATGGCATTAAAGCCGCGCTGAAAATACCAGCTAAATCTGGTTCACCATTCACTTCCATTGCGTCTACAACTTCTTGGAATTGTGGTTGTAAGTTTATGAACCACCTATCCGGGTTAGCTTTATGACCCCATCTCATTGTAGTTCCATAGTCTGCAGAAACAAAAGTAGGTTTGTTTCCATATTGGTTAGGTTCTGAATGAACTTTAAACAATGTTTCATTTCTATATGTTTTGGTGAAATTTAACCTTTTATTTTCACCGAGTTCAGCCAAAGATTGAACGTTATATGGTCGTAAGTAAAAAGGGTTATTGTATTTGCGTACATTTTCTTTCAGTTCTTCCATTCTATGCTGAATATTTTCATCTGGTGTTGGAGTCTTTTGTATGTCGGCAAACATTTTTCGATATTCTTCTACCATGTCAGCCGAATTTTTCTTAGACTCTTGGAAAGATTCCATATTCACCTCATACTCTTGTTGAGGGTCAAGATTTTTCGGCTGTTCCAAATCTTCATCTAGTTCTGTGAAGTTAGTTTCCAAAGGAGGGACTTGTTCGTTTCCTTCAGGCTCTTCTAGCTGTTGTTGCTGAACTATTTCTTCCATGTCTGGTTGTATCTGAACTTCTTCCTGTGGAGTTTCTTGTACCTCATCTGCTGGCATTTCATATATTCCGAGACCGTTTTCAACAAGTTCCCTATTTAAGTCATCCGCATTCATAAGCCTTTGTTCTTTCGTTCCGTCTCTATTTTTTACGCGTTTCATGAAGATAGTTGAATCATCATTTATCTCTGACACCAAATATCTCGGAGTAAATTCGTTCATGTCATTTGGATGATATGCTATTAAATCATATCCCTTAGCGAGCTTGTATTTTCCAGGTTTGAAATTATATCCCATTTGGTGCTGAACCATAAAGCTAAATAGGTTCGGGTCAGTATTTCCTTCCTTGAACTTTCGAATAGCTTCTTTATATCTGTCACTAAAGTCAATAGTATCTGGGTAACCATAGTCTTCTTTAAGCATTTTTAAGAATTCTTGGTTTCCTTGTTCTCTACTTCTTTTATGTCCTTGCTCTGTTTGTGGTTGTTGTTGTGCAGGGTTTTGAACTGTTGGTTGCTGTGCTGGTTGTGGAGGTGGTTGTTGTGCAGGGTTTTGAACTGTTGGTTGCTGTGTTGGTTGTTGTGTTGGTTGTTGTGCTGGTTTTGGTGCATGCCTGTGTCTGTGTCCATGTGACGATGTAAATGTTTTAGGTAGTCCTGGTGCAGGTGCTTCTCTTGGAGGGTTTGGTGGTATATAGGTTCCACTAGCTAGTATATAAGTTCCACCAGCTGGCACATATGTTCCATCTGCAGCATAATGTCCTACCTGACTTTTCGTTTTTAAGAAAGCATTTACTAGGTCTGTTTTGGTCTGTTGTAACTCTTTTTCTTGACTTTCCACAACAGTTGCTCTAACGGCGTCATAGGCACTTTGAACTGCCTGTCTCGTTGCTGCATCTGTTATTTTCGTCATATTTTGTGCTACTTCTCTTAACTCTTTGTCGAAACCTTCAGACTTCAGTTTCTTTCCAGATGAGAAGTCGTTCACTTGTTTCACCTTACTATGAAGAGCTTCGAAGGCGTTCTTAAAGTCAGCATTCGTTAAAGCTTCATTTGAACTGTCTTCATCCGCTTGTATTTTTGTCCTTATTGACCCTATAAGTTGGGCTGCTTTAGCGTTGGCTTGGGCATCTAACCAGTCATTGTTAGCTTTTATATATTCTGCGCTTTTCATTGCCTTTTGCATGGCTGCGTCGTTATTTTTACTTTCTTGTGCTAAGTTTTCATACTGTACGGTTTGGTTTTGCAACTGTAAAAGTTTTTCTGCCTTTACATTTGCTTCAACTTCTTTTTTATACTCATCGCTATCCATATATGTCTTCAGGGCTTTTTGTTTTATCTCTTCATCTTTCAGTACTTTATATTGAGTAGTATGGTTTTTCAAATTTAAAACATCTTGTTCCATTTTTGCTACTTCTGCTGCTTTTTCTGACACTTTTTTCGCATATTCCTCTGTACTTAGTTCTTTCAGTTGTTCTTCTTTCTTCTTTTTCTCTACGTTTAACTCATTGAGTTTCTTTGTGTGTCTGTCATATTCTAGTTTCTTTTCGTTTTCACTTATTTGCTTCTGTATGTCTATGTTTGACTTTTTGACATCTGATATTTGATTTTTGAGTGAACTCAAATTCATTTGACTTTGAGGGTTATAGGCTGTTCCGTCTGCAGCTCCACCATAGCCTGCCATTTTCGCTAAAAGTGCCGCTCTTAAACCTCCACTCTGTGCACCAAGAACTCGGTTTAAAAGCATAGGATTGCTTGACATTTGTTGCAACATAGTGGGGTCATTCAGCATTTGTTGTTGCAACTGTTGTTGTGGTGTCAGTTTTACTATTGGATGTTTCAATGCTCTCTTCCTCTTACGTAGATTCTTACGTAGCTTACGTGGCATTTTAAGTGAAGTAAAAAAGCGGTTTTTGACAGATGTTTATATAACACTTTTGTTCAGCACAAAAAACTACTCGGTCAAAGTGTTGTCAGTTTTGTAAAATAACCGTCCTATCTCATTCTATAAGGGGGAAAAGGCTTCTCAAAGTATACTTCCTTGGAACGCCTGTAACTTTTCCTGTAGCGACGATAGACCCTTACTTGTCCGGACAAAGTTATACTAAACATCTTCAGGGCTAGAGGGCACGAAGTGCCTGGAGGCCCCACTACCTTTTTTTTTCATTTTAGGAGAATATAATTTTCCTTTTCGAAAATTTAAAAAGTGAGACGCGCAGGATTCGAACTTTTTTAAAAGTTGATTTAAATATATTCTAGTGTGGATTCTAATGATAATATCATATTTAAAATAAGAATATACTAGTTTAGGTGGTATAATTTTTTTCGATAAATTTGAGAGCATGTACGTTTAGGGCATCAAAAGTGTCAATTCGCTCAGCGAAAGCTGAGCTAGCTTCGTTCTCGAAAGAATAGGGAAGGAGTGAAAGAGAGTGATACAGATGTTGACACATTCATATCATTTCAACAAATTTTGATCAAATTGAAATTCAATGAAATTCAATTCACTTCATATCCTTCAGTCAGTACATTGACATCCTTCTACATCACAATGATAACTCGTGCATCAATAGTTCTACAACTAACTCAGAAAAAACAAGATTTTTCCTTCCAGCTTACAGCTTTTAAAAAGTTTCGATGATAAAAATCACTCTACTCTTGTTTATCGATATGTTGTGATAGTATGTAAACGTATTCTTATCGATATTAATAAAAATATTTTTACGAAAATCTGAACCAATTACAGAGTTATTCATAAAGTTTATGATAACTGTAATTACTTCATCTTTGTTTTATATTTGAATAAACAATTTAATTTAATTTGCATAATTTTTTTTAGTTGAAAGACAGGAAACTTAGTTGAGTTTGTATTATTTTTATCGTTCAATTCATTGTATATGTGAGTGATCCAGATATTTAAGATATTTAGAAAAAATTTATTAATTTGATTAACAAATTTTAATCAAAATAGCAAAAATCTATTTGATAGCTGTAAGCAAATAATAATTTCTATTTCAACCAAAATCACTTATTTTCATCTAAACGTATAAAATTGTCAATTTTATGAGAATAAATTTAAAATCTCATGAAATATAAAGGAGAGTAATATTTTTCAATTTTCTTTTTTTCTTTCTCTCAAATATTTTCTATTGGGAATTTTCTTGTTATCAAAAAATAATTTTAATATTTGTTTATTTCATTACATACAATAAAATTTTAAAAACTCTATTTCTTCACAAGAAAATTTTTTTCCTTCATATGAAGAAACATTTTGTTCTCCATTTGATGCTAAGTCTAAATCTCGATTTTTGAATTTTCTTCTTTCCAAATTTCTTTTTTCCAAATTAGAAGTTTAATTCAAATTTTCAATAGTTTATATATTTTCTCAAACCGTCTTAGATTTTCTCACTTTTTAGGGATTTTCTCTCAAAATATACAAAAATAGTAATACCAATACATGTGTCTAATATACTTTAAAACCATCGTGATAAAATTCAAAAACGAAGAGTTCTTCTCTCCAAATTTTTTTCAAAATCAAAAAAATGAGATAAAAAAATATGTTCGGAAAATTCATTTTTAGCATTTTAGGAATTTTCTCACTTTTCTTCCAAATTGACATCCTTACTCAAACTTTATCCTCTCCATTAATTGATAAAATTACATTAGAATCATACATTAAATGACAAATTTTATGAAAATCAAAAATAATTTCAAAGTTTTATTTAATTATAAAGGATTATTATAACATAATAGGAGTAAAATCAGCAAAGTATATATAAAAAAAATTATTTTTAAAAAAATAAATAAAATTTTTTTTATTTTTTAATTACCAGCTGTTTGAGGTGCATTGCAGCATGGGCATCTTCCTGTCTTCTGGATGTATCTATCCCAATCAGCTCTGTTAGATACGCATCCGCAAGAAGTGCATTGTGTTGGGTTGATTACAGGATAACCAGTTACATGGCAAAACTCGAATTCTGTTCTGCAAGCAGGGCATCTCAAAGCTGCAGAATAGATTTCGCGTCCACACTTTGGACATGATGTTGTTGGAACTTTTCCTTCTGCGTTAGAAGAAACGTTCTTATCCAAAATCCAACTCTCGATCTTTTCAACTGTATCCTGATCAACGACCAACTTCATTCTCAAGCACAAATCTCTTGGAATATCTGTACTTGTGAAACCAGACTGATCGATATTTGCTCCTTTGATCTTTCCTGATGCAACAGCTTCAGAGATATCCATGAATCTATTGTAGAATATCAAAGCTGCCTCCAAATTATTCTGCTTCTCCATTAATCTTCCTGCCTTGTAGAACAAATGATCTGCAGGAACAATGTCGCAATATCTCAAAGCAGCAACATATGCTTTAGCTTCTAAATCATCTAATCCAAGCTGGTTCAATGTTTGTGCTTGGCAAAGTAAATGAACAGCTCTTGTCATGTTGATTAACTTCTGGTAGCTCTGTGATTGTGGTGAAGCAGCCTTTGCAATCTTGAACATCATTGTTCTTAACTGGAAGAATGTTTGTGGTAAGTTCTCATATGTTGGAACACCATAAACAGTTGCCTGGCAAAGAGTAATATAAGCAGGAATTGACTTTGAATTTGCTGAAGGAGAATATTTGGCCAAAACAGCAATTGCCTTATCGAAATCTTGTTTGTCGACTAATGTTTGAGCGTATTTCATTGTGTACTTTTCGAGATATTCTGGTCCTTGTTGCTGTGCTTCTTGAAGACATCTATCCCATTCTCCACGTGAAGCAATCAACTCCAAAGCGTTGTCGACATCACCCATTTCGAGCATTTTAGCATCGTTGTTATTAGAAGCGAGCCAATTCTGGTAATCCTGCTTGAATTGTCTTTGATCTTCTGCATCGAGATATCCTGATATTCTCTTAGCATCTTCCCACATTCCTGCTTGTTTGTAGATCTCAACAGCATCTTGGTAAGCGTCGATGCCTTCGAGGATCTTTCCTAACGAAGCAGATCTCTGGAGATAGAGCAAGTTCTTTGCAACATTCATGACGACTTCTTGTAATCTGTTCTGTGAGAAGTTTGCTGCCAATTTGACTGCTCTCTCCATGACTTGGTCGTAACGAGATTCTCCACCGCAATCTTGAACACTCAAAGACAAATAGTGGTCGATTGCAGCATCGAAATTCTTCTGGGATTCCAAAGCAAGGCCTTTCTTGACACCTGTTGCTCCTGCTGTTGATTGAGAAAGGGATTTGTTGTTGATGGATTGCGATGCTGTCATCGATGTCAATCCATACTTCTGTGCAACTCTTTGTGCATCGTTGTTCATCTTGTAATGGAGATACATCTGAACAGCTTCTTCCTGTTTGCCACACATGATGTAATGTTGTTCTGCAGCGGAGAAATTCTGGACAGATTCCATTGCAACAGCCAATTTCTCGTGTGCTTGGTCAACAACTGTTTTAGGAATTGTGTTGCAGTTATCGAAAATCAATTGTGCCATGTCGATAATTCCATTGTCAGCGCAATATGTCAATGCTTCTTGAACTTTTCCGAGGGAAACAAGCTTCTGAACGCCAGCAACGCCACCAATATCTCTTGCCCATTTGATGGCGATCTTTAAGTCATCGTGTTGATCAGGAGAACCATATTTCTTAGCGACTCTGAGTGCATCTTCCCATTTCTTCTCTTGTGAGTACATGAACAATGCTTTCTCTGGTTTTCCGGCTCTGATATAGAATGATTCAGCGTCTGCGAGATTTCCTTCTCTCTCAGCTTTAGTTCCCATGTCTTCCAACTGAGATTTGTCGCCACCAAACTTCTGTGTGAGTCTAAGAACAGACTCTGTGTCTCCTGCAGCTGTGTACATGTCGATTGCGAGCTGTGGCTGGTTGATTGACAAGTAGATCTCTTCTGCAATCTTCTGGGAGTCTTTCTTCTTCTCGAGTTTCTTCGCTGTTGAAATAAACAACTTCTCTAATTGTGCTGCCTTCATGTTTCTCTTTCCATGTCTCTGTGCATCTTTGACACGTCCTTTCGTCAAATACATTTCGATGATATCCTGATGTGCATCGACAGAAAGGAACAAGTCTTCTGCTGTGTTAGTGTCATCGGTAGAAGCGAAGTGTCTTGCAACTCTCAAGTACTGAATTCTCAACTCGTTTCTCAAATCAACAGAAGAAGAAACAGACTTGAGAATGTCAGCGGCTTGTGTCCATTGTTGAGCACGAATTGCTCCGGCCAACGCTTGTGAGTAATCACCGGCATCGACGTAATGAACAATGGCTGCTTCGCTCTGGCCAACAGAAACTAAATAATCGGCCCATTCGTGTTGTAAAGTGACAACTAACTCTGGCTCAGCGGATTTGGCAAGTTCGAGGGCGTTGAAGTAAGCATGGCCCTTCCTGTATGATTCAAGAGCTGCCTTTGAGTTGCCAAGCTTCTCGTAGATTTGGCCGGCGATGTCATCGCGTTTTCCGGCAAGAGCTTCTGCAACGTGGGACAATAATTGTGGATTTGCCTTGTCTTCGTGTTGCAAAAGAATGTCTGCGGCCAATTGTGGCTTGTTTCCTTGTAAACAGATATCGACGGCTTCCGAAATGTTTCCTCTGGCGGCCTTGAGCTTGGCGGCTGTTTGGTATTGGCCTGTAGACATGAGATGGTTGAAGTATTCGTCTCTGAGGGCTTGTGCGCGTGTAGGAGTACGAAGTTCGGCAAGATCGAGGAGTTCGTTCCACATATGCATGGATTTGTACATGTTGATGGCATCATCGAGTTGGTCGTGCTCGATAAGGCAGTATTCGGCTTGTTTGTAGTTGGATTGTAACATCGCGATTCTTGCTTGTACTTGGCAGTTCGAAAGACCGTTCTTTTCGATGAGTTTGTTGAGTTTGTGGAGGAATCTGGCACGAGAAAGATCACCGAGCTTGGAATAGCTGATTTCTGCAACCATAAAATTTTGATCCTCCATTGCTGCTTGAGCAAGCTCTTCCCAGAGTGATCTGGCAGTGCATGTGTCTCCCATCTGCATAAGAATCTGTGCGGATTCGCGGAGTTTCTTTGATTCCATCGCAGCTGAGAAAGCAATGAAAGAACCATCGAGAGGATAGTTCTGGCATGAACCAGCGTTCTGAATGGTAACAGTTGTTTTGGTTCCCGAGCGTTGGATGTCGACAACATCGCCTTCGATATCAGAAACACGGACTTCATCAGGAGATGATGGGGAGTAGTAGACGTAGAGTGATTTCTTGCTTTGTGCGACGATGACGTTTGCTTCTGGAACCCATTGTGCGTAGCTGCAAAGGTTGATAAGGCCATTTAACTGCCTTGAAACGATGTTGTAGAGGTACAATGAGCGCTTTGAATCTCTGAAGAGCAACATTGTACCGGAAACATTGAGTTCGAGCCAGTCAATTTTAGATTGGATCTGTACAGTGCCAACAGTGTTCTGTGTCTCGACATCGATGATTCTGATGGTCTTAGAATCAACAAGGTATGCGAGAATCTTGGCATTGCCGCGTAAAATCTTGGCTCCGAAACGTAATGAAAGAAGATACGAGCTTGCGTATTGGGTTGGAATGGCAGCAAGTGGATCTGCTTTGCCAAGCTCAACAACTGTAAGTTCGCCGGTGTTCCAGACAAGGACAGCTATGTCATCAATGAAGACAAACCTTTCGTTGATTGTTGGCTCGCCATCGCAAGGAGCGGCTGGCATCTCTGATGTCTTAAGACTCTTTGTATCGCCAACAAGGAAGGATTGTGTGGTGCGAACAATGACATAACGATCTTGTTGGAAGTTTGTAGAGAGAATACGGTAATCTGAGCGAAGATTTAATTCTTTCTTAGAACGTAAGTCAACAACTTTGATCTGTGATCCTGTAACGTTGATAACTTCGAATAATTTCTTGTAACGGAAAGAACCCATAGAAGCAGAAACGATGAAAACAGCGCCTGTGACAGATGAAACTGCAATTCTTGAGCCATCAGGAGACCATGAAAGGTCTGGAACTTGGTAAATTCCGTCAAATTCGATAATTGCTGTTTGTTGCCAGTTCTGGATATGCTGGGAGTAGTTAAATGTGATAAGAGTGTTTCTACCTGCAACCATGGCTGTTGTGCCTGATGGATCGAAAGTTGCAGCTGTAAATGATCTGAGATCGCCTTTGTTGGAAAAGTCGACCTTGTTCTCGTTCGAGCCGTTTGCATCTGCGAAATAAACTTGTAAATCAGCACCGGCAGCGAGGACTTGTGAACCCCATGAAAGAGCTAAAGGAGGAACAGTAATCCTTGTAACAAGTGTGCGAGCGTGATTATCAACGTTAACCATGAAAACATGTCCATCAAGATGTCCAATGATAATTGCATTTTGTCTATTGGATGAAGCCATAGAAATCGGTGGAAGATCGTGGCGATATAATTCTTCGACCTTCTTGTGCTTTGTGAGAGCAAGGTAGACAGAACCATCAGCTAAACCGTAAGCGAATTCATTTAACGAAGAATTTGGCCAAGCAACGCAAAGAGGAGCTCCTTTTGTAGCGACTCTCATTGCAACTTTCTTGCGATAATCAACAGCATTAGCTGGACCAATATCGTAGACAGCAACTGTTGAATCTGATTGTCCTATTGCAAAACGTGATGAATCAGGAGACCAATCAAATGAAGTAACTGTGAAATTTTTCTTGGCATCTTCTTCACGACCTTTAATTGGGATTTTGCTAATCTCGTTACTAGATATTGTAACAATTTGAACTATATGATCAGCAGTGCCGACGGCAAGTCTTTCGCCATCGGGACTCCACTTCACGAAGACAACGCGCTTCTCCGGAGAGTTGGAGGCTGAGATAATAGTGCTTTGTAAGTCGAATTTCATTGATTGATTTTGTAAACGTTCGTTTTTTTCGAGATTGAAAATTTATAAAATAATTAATAATATTAGTAATTAGATTAAATGCGCATGACAATTGTATTTGTACGTTATTTAGTATTCAATTTTATTTACAACAATTGTACTGTTTTTGTCCCCTGCAGACATGCATATATTTGAATTTCGTATTTTTATTAAATTTCATAAAAATTTTATATAAAAAATTTTTTTTTTCAAGAAAAAAACGAAAAAACTTGAATGAGTAGAAGGCCGACAGCATTAAAGTTCAATGTGAACAAGAAGCTGAGCCAACTGATGAAAGTCATTCAGTTTTTCCAATCTCAGCTTTCTGAACAAAAATATCAGAAAGATTACTTAAATAATTATTTCAATCCACTAATAAACGAAACTCTTGATGGATATAGAAGTTTCGCAGCAAAATCAAGTGAAGAAGTTGAAAAACAAGTTGGAATTTGTAACGAAAAAATTGAAAAACAATTCAAAGAAAAATTACTCACATTACAATCAGATCAGAAAGCATACATTGATGCGAATCGGACAAATCTAGCTAAATTTGAAACAAAAATTACTTCTGACGCTCAAGATATATTAAAAGCGATCGAAGAGATAAATAATCAATTTATTAATTGTCAAGAAGACGTCTCTAAGATGGCTGATCAATACCCTCAACAGTTAAATCAAATTTTACAAACTGAAAATGAAAAATTTAAGGCTGAAGTAGAAGAACTTAACAAAGAGTCAAAACGTAGACTTGATGAGCTTAAGGAAACCAATAAAAAGAACTTACAAGAACTAGAAGAACAACATCAAAAAGACATTTTAGAATTAAAGAACAGCAACGATCCTTCTAACAAGAAAACGAATGCAATTAACAAGAAGTTCTCTGCATTGAAGCAAAAATGCCAATCGTTAAAGGATACAATGGCAAATTTGAAAAATAATATTAATGATTTACAAAAACAGAATTCAACATATCTAAAAGGTATCAAAGACAAAGTAAGAGCACAATCATCAGAGCTTAGCATGTTTGAAAAGGAGAAAAAGGCTAAAAATGACATGAGAAGAGAACAAATTAAATTATTACTTCAAGACTACGAAAACAAGCAAGAAACACAACAGAACATACTCAAATCTAACCAAGAAATGCATAAAGAAGAGATTGCTGAAGCCAGAAAGAACGCTAAAAAAGAAGTTGATGAAATGAAGATAAAATTCAGTGACGAAAGCCAGAGAATAAGGAATCAATACGATGATTTAGATGCTGCATTCCAATCTCTAATTAAAAAGTACGAAGAGGAATTAAATAAATTAAAACAAAAACATGAAGCTTTTATTGAACAATCCAATGCCAAACTGAAAGATAAATCAAATGAAATAGAAGTTATGGTCCAAGAGAACCAAAAAGAGATTCAAAAATACCAAGATGAATTAAATGCTCTTTCAAAAGAACTGGAAGACAAAAAAGCAGCATTAAACAGTAAACACGAAGAAAACATAAACAAAGAAAACGAAAGATATGAAAATAAGAAGAAACAAATTCTAGAAAAACAAGATTTATCAAGTCAAGGCATGGAAAGCGAAACAAGAGAGAAAACAAGACAATTAAATGAGACTCTTAGTAAGATTGATACTCTCAGACAACAATTTGAGAAAGAAATCAACGATTTCGAAAATGAAACAAATTCTATCGCTGAAAATCAATCAGTTGAGAATGATTCTAAGTTTGTTGAATTCTCTGATTCAAAGAAGAATGAAATCGAACAAATTAAACAAGAAAACAAGCAAAAAATTGAGAATTTAACAAATGATGAACAAAATGAGATAGAAAACCTAAAAAAACAACTTGAAGATGAATACAACAAAGCTATTAATGATGTTCATGAGAACGGATTAAGTAAAACAGAGATTCCTGAGTTCGTTGCCAAATATAAAGAAATCTTCGACAAAGAAAACATAAAATTCAACGATATTGGTGATCTCCCGCAAGAAGATTTCTCAATGCTCGACAGCGAGATCAAGATGCTCGAAATGAAGATAGATGAACAGGCAAGACTCGATGCAGAAGAAAAACAAAAAATTATTTCAGATTTTGAGAAGAAGACGATAGAAGAAAATGATCGTCATAACAAGTATATGGAGAATTTCCCACCAAATCCTGATGAAAATTTGCTTAAAGATGTAGAAAAGCAAATTTCGAATGAAAAACAATTGAAAGAAAATGATGAAAAATATTGGAACGATAAAATAGAAAATGAATCATCTACATTCAATCAGAAGAATAGTGAGCTTGAAGAAAAGCTCAAAGAGCTCGAAGATACAACAGAAATCGACAATCTAAATAATATGATTAAAGATCTCAAAGAAGAGCTCGAAAAATTGAATAACGAAGCTAATCTTTCAGTAGAAATGCGTGCTGAAGAACATAAAAAGCGTCTTGCCAATGAAAAAGACAAATTTGAAAAATTAAAACAAGATTTAGACGACCAAATGAGCAAATTGTATCATAAACACAACGAAGACAAAGAACAGCTACAGAAGGACTTAGAAGAATCAGCATCCCGTGAATCTGCCGCCTTAGACAATGCAAAAGATTTGTCAGAAAAAATGAAATTGGCCGAGAAAAGAGAATTCGAAAGAACTCGTGACCAATTGAAGCATGACATTGAGGACTTAAAGAAGACATTATTGTCCAATGAAGGAGGAATCGGGAAAGCCCTTGCATCGAATTCCGCGAGAAGAAAGAGTGAAGAAAAAGTTTTAATTGACGAAAAAGAAGAAATTATCAAAAATATTCTCAAAGAATGGGATGCAATGAGAATCTTTTACGATGAAAAGATAGATGTCCTTCAGGGAAGAATAGAAACGGCAAAGAGGAAGCTCCAAACAATGAGTCCAAGGCCACAAGATAAAGCAATGATTGAAAAACTGACGAATGATTTATCTTTGGTTACTTATCGATTGAAGAACGCTGCTCTCGAGTTCAAGAAGGCAAGAGAACTGACAATGACACAGGAAAAGGTTTACAATGGTCAGTTTGGTCAGCATATGAAAGTTGGAGTCGCATTACCCGTTTCAAAGTCCTCAATGAAATAAGGGGAAAAAATATGTATTTGTTATAACAAATCAAAATATCTGATTTTGATTAATACTTTATCATGTAAGTTTATATAGTTATTTATTCTTTTTTATATTAAACAATGTTTTTATTTTTTTATAAGATACTTTTTTTCAAACATGCAGGCATTGGAAATTAGAAGATACTAGAAAATATTAGAAATTTCTAATGATTTTTCAATTACTGTCTTATAGGACAGTTTACAGTGCAAATTTTTAATATCCGTAATCCCAAAATGTAATCAGATGCAGATATATTTGCATTTGAATTTTACTTAAGTAATATGTTTTGATGCATCTTAATTAAAGTTCGTTAACAAATCAATATATAAATTACATTTAAAGATGATAGATCTCGCTCAATGTCCAATTCTTTCGGCCCAACTCAAAATTTGTTTTAGGGGAACAATTAAAAAAAAACTGACACCAATTTATTCAACATCACAATAATTGTGAGAATCAATTCAATTTTCAATTAAGCAATCAGTGTCAGATTTTGATGCTGTAATCCGATGCTTTGTCTGATTTTTCATCAGATGAACTCCTTAAGGACAGAACCTATTGGGGATTCTACCCTCCATCCTCAAATTCATACAGGGCATTACCTCTCACATATCATACTAGAGGAGTTCTTTTCGCAAATGTTGTCAACAACGGTGTAGTTCGTATTAATGACCAAACCAAAGTCTTAATCCTCGAGTATATCACATTTAATTCTATCACATCTGATCAAAACGGTGGCTGCGTTCTCTTTAATCCCGGCCACTCAATTTACCAAAAAGATATATGTGCTCGAGATGTTTATTCAAGTACAAAAGCTAAATATGGCTATATAAACGTTTTAAAAACTTCTGAAAACGTCAATTACAATTCAATGATCTCGATAACTGATTGTACACATGATGCTCTTCCTGATCTACTTTGGATAGGAGGTGGAAAAATCTCACTTTCAAATTATAACTCTACTAATAACTACGCTTCTCAATCACCTGGTTTTTACTTTGAAAATTCGGTTGGAAAAGCCATAACATCAACAATAAATTTTATAGTCTGTTCAGATACTGACTGCATATTAAAATATTCAAATTTTTATAAAAACAAAGTTATTGACACAACCTATCATTTTTTAACTCTACACAAAGATACTTCCTCTGTTGATCATTGTGTTTTTGCTCAAAATATTGCAAAGAATTTTCTATATGGAAGTGTCACTTTTACTAGTTGTTCATTTTATCAAAATTCATTTAGCTCAACGCCGAACTCAAGTCCTTATCGAGGATTAAATAGCTTTAATGTAGTTACTATTTGTCATATAGTAAATCCCAAAGATTGCATTAAGAAATAGTAGTAGGATAGGAAGGGTTGTGTGACTTTTTTTGTTACATCTATATATAGACGATGCATTAAAATATATTTATTTATAAATCATTAAAAAATTAACATTAATTTTAAAATAATTTATTTTTTTATCTTTTATAAAAGAAGCTATATATAGATGATGTCAGATATTCCGCGATTAATTAAACATTGTTTAAATCCTGAATGGGTTAAACTTCAATTTAAAAATGAAGATTGTGAATTATTAAATGAATATGAAAGCCAAAATAAGCTAATGAGGTATAAATATAATGATAAAGAATATTTAATTTCATGGAATCAATGGAGTCATAATCAAAGACCTCATAAACGAGAAGAAGAAATTGAAAATAATGAAATGGAAATCATTGATGACATTAAAGAGGATGGAATTCCTAAATTTTGTAGAAAAACCTTTAGAACTAAGTTAGGAGCATATAAACGTAGAGTATTAAATCCTGAATATCTTAAACATCAATTTAAAAAGGAAGACTGTGAATTATTAAACGCTAATGAATATGAAAATGCTAAATCAAAACTGAGATATAAATATATTGGAAGTGATGAAAGGTGTAAAGATAAAGATAATGTTTATTCAGTTTCATATAATAACTGGCACACGTTAGGGATAAGAAAACATTTAGGAGATTATGGGAAATGTTCTGAATTCTTTAAATCTAGTATGTATGAGAGAGTAAAAGAAATTAGAAATAATTATTTTCATGAATGAAAGATTCACTACCATAATGAAATAAAAAAATAAAAATTCATGTCTTACATTTTTGAATAATTTATTTTTAATTCGTATGAAATGAGCGTCAAAACTAACGACGTGAAAAAATTAGGATTCACAAACGAGGAAATAAAGGATATATTAGATGAGATGTGTTATGAAGTTAGTAAATATTATTTAAGAAATTGTCAAAAATTTGCCGAGTTATTAAATGATTTAGATTATGATGGAAAAATGAATAAAGATGATGTTATAAATTTCTTATATCCCACATCTGAAGAAGAAAAACCTAAAGAACCTGATGTTTTCCCTGAATATTATGAAGAACGGATTAAAGATGATGAATACGATGAAATTGAAAGACTGGAAAAAATAAGAGATGAAATAGATGAAAAAATTAAGGAATTAAGAGAAGTTGAAAAATATAATGAAAATGAAGTAGAGGGTTTAATGAATATCCCAGCTTCAGAATCAGAAGTACAGAAATCTCATGAAGAAAGATATAAAAATTATGTCTCAGAATCAACACAAAATTTATTAGATGGTGAAATAGACGAAACACTTTCAGAAGAAGGTACTAAATTTATTCGTAAACATAAGTTACAATTTATTGATAATGAAAAATACCCTTGTATCCTACTTTCACCCCCTCTCGATCCCGAAAAATTCAAAAAAGCTCTTAAAAACGTGACATATGCAACTAATACGATTAAGAAAGAAGATCATGATATTTACACAAATTATTATTTAAATAAATGCACAGGTGTTGATAAAGTTTTTGATTTATTAGATAAAATATCAAAAGAAACCATTGGAACCTATAAAATTTTGTGTGATTGTGGTTTCATTATTGAAGATACCAATAATGTTTCATATGAAAGAACAGCACCGAAGGAAGATGAAGTGGAAAGGTCTATACCATTCGTTATTAAGAATATAAAAGATATGAAAACTTATAAACATTATATTTATTCATTTATTTCAGAAAAAATGGAAGCAACCCATAAAACATCTTCTCATCATTTTATAGCTATTCATACATTCCTTTTCAAAGTTGTGAAATTAAATAAGACAGGAATTAGATTTAATGTATCAGGGTACGCATTCTTGAGTAAATTAAAATGTATTCGTCACGTCGCAGATGATAAAAATTTATGTGTTCTTAATTCATTTTATGGGCTTTAAAAAATAAACTTTATTTTTTAATTTTTTATTCTTACATAAATGAACAAAAACGGAACAGCTAAAATGAATGATAATCAAATTAGAGCAGAAGGTAGAAGGTTATTTAAACGCTTCTATAACATTCCTGATGGTGTTAATCCTAAAACTCGTAGAAGTTATTTAAATGAAGCAATAAATTCATATGAAGGGTTTGACATTTCATCAGAAAGTGAGAGATTAGCGAGAATGTTAAATGTTAATATTGATTTCTATTATTGTGATCCTCAACCAGAAGACGTGGATATAAATAAGGTAGACTTTCCATTAGTGGAATCAATAATGATAGATCCAGAATTTGAAACAGTAAATATTTTATTAACACAGAGTCCATGTGGAAAACTTCACGCTGACAGAATAACAGACGTTGAAGCACTCACCGGCTATAAAGTTTGTCCATATTGTAAAGAAGAAGTTTATTCTATCCGTGATGATCCGGAAAGGAAAAACCAAAGAAGATTTTTTAAAGCATTGTGAGAAATGTAAAGAAAATAATGGAAGATTAATTCAAGACGTTCAATTGCAAAAGACCCAGCAACCATATGCACCACATATTACGAAACAGAAGATATATCAGTGGTTATTAGCTCATAATTTGCAGGAATATTATCAACCGACAAGATATTATATTACTTTTGACTTCGAAACATTAGAGACTAAAGAAGAATTACAACTTTCTGAGTGTGCAACTTTGAACGCTTACTTAAAACCATTCATGGTATCATCAACGGTTAAATTAAATGATAAAACGTATACGAGGAATTTTTGTTTAACTTCAAGTGATTCTTTTATTTCTGATTGGATTGAGTTTTTATTTTCAACCTGTTCATTAGTTGCTAAATCAAATATTGAACAATATGAAGAATTAATGAAGTCGCAAACGGACTCTTTGAGTCCTGAAGGTCTTTCAGACCAAACGGCGGGGACTTTGTCTCATACATTAAATGAAAAACAGAAGGAAGCATTTAAAGAACTTCTAGATGAGGAATTCAATAAAGTGAATATCATAGGTTTTAATTCGGGAAAGTTTGATTTAAATTTAATTCTTCGTGATTTAAACACTGCAAAATGGAAAATAAAATCAATGCTGGGTTCTTCTTCTCAATTTAAGCAAATCATTGTAAAGAAACAAACACTCCATATGAATTGAGATTTATTGACATCAGAAATTATATAGCGGGTGGGACATTAGACCAATTCACTCAAGATTTCGGAAACAATAAATCACGTGTTAAATCCTTTTTCCCTTATCAATTCATCACGTGGGAGAATTACGAAGAAGAATTATATAAAGAGGAACCATTCACGAAAGATTCATTTTATTCAGCATTAACTCAAAAACTATATCAGATAGTGATTATCAAATATATCTCAATGATGCTAAAAATTTTAAGAATAGATTAGAATATTTTATTCATTATTGCAATAAAGATGTTGAAATTATGATTGACCCAATCGATAAAATTATTGAAGAAACATTTGTTTATAAAATTGATATGCTTCATAATCTTTCTTTATCATCGAATGCTTCAATGATTCGTTACGCTTTAGCATATAAAGACTTTAATCCTAATGAAAAATATCCTGAGGAAGAGATAGAATCAAGTTTTGAATTAACAAAAAGTATTGGAAATATAAAATTGAATCATATAAGAAACAAGATGAAAAA